GTAAAGCGCATTGCAGTAATCTATACGGGATGTTACCAGTGCATGTGTAACTGTCATGAGACTCCGCTCGTCCAGGTAGGGCCATAGCTGGTATAGTTTCTGCAGCTGGAGGAAGGCGCCCCTGGCCATTGAGTCCACCTGGGCTTCCAGTGTTAGACTGGGGTCCAGGAGCACCCCCAAGCTGCGGACCCTGTCCCTTAGGGGGAGTGTAACCCCATTCAGGGCAGGGAGATGGCCCTCCAGCCTGTCTGGCAAAGCACCCACTAACAGCACTTCCGTCTTGTCTGGATTGAGTTTCAATTTATTGACCCTCATCCAGTCCATTATCAGGTCCAAACACGAGTTCAGCACAGAAACCTCCTCACCTGGATTGGTGGAAAACGAGAGGTAGAGCTGAGTGTCATCAGCATATTGCTGACTCCTCAGCCCAAACCTCCTGATGACCTCTCCCAGTGGTTTCATGTAGATGTTAAACAGCATGGGGGACAGTATTGAGCCCTGAGGAACCCCATGATATAAACACCATGGGACAGAGCAACTGTCCCCCAGCACAACTCTCTGGACATGGTCAGCTAGGAAGGAACGGAACCACCGTAAAGTGGTGCCCCCAACTCCCAACCCAGCCAGCCTATCCAGAAGGACACCATGGTCAATTATTGAGACCCGATGATGTAGACAGGGTGCTTGGATCTGTCCAATTTACCACCACTCCGCTTGACCCTTGCCCATCTTGGCTAATTTGGAAATCTGCCAGGGGGGTTCGTACATGGGTCCAGCAAGCCATCAAGGCCTTCTTGAGAGAGGGAGTGGGTAGGCCCAGGTAGACTCGGTGGCCCTCGGTAGCCAGGGATTCCCTTCCTGCATCTGCAGAAACTATTCCAGGTGCCGCCCTATCTGGACAAACAGAGCCTCATGACAGTCACACATGCACTGGTAACAACCCGTTTAGATTACTGCAATGTGCTTTATGTGGGGCTGCCTTTGAAGACAATCTGGTGACTACAGCTGCTTCAGAATTGAAGCACAATTGCATGACTGGTAAGTGGAGGAGCCACAAGAGACCATATTCAGCTGATTCAGGTTACACTGGCTACCAGTTGTTGACTGGGCCCAATCCAAAGTGCTTGTTCTAACATATAAATTCCTAAGCGTCTTGGGCCCTGGATACCTGAAGGACCGCCTCCTTCCTGGCAACTGAGATCTAGCCAGAGGGCCCTCCTGAAAGAGCTGTCCCTCAGTGAGGTTAGAGGGATGGCCTGTAGGCGGTGGGCCTTTTCGGCAGCTGCCCCCAGTCTTTGGAATGCCCCCCCAAATGACATCCAACTGGTGCCAAAGTTACTGACATTTCAGCACCAGGTTAAAACCTTCCTGTTCCTGAAGTTTTTTACTTGAAGTTTTTAATTGAAGGTTTCAATTTCAGTTTCAGTTTTAGTTGATATTTATAGATCTAGATTATTTTTGTAGATGGTTTTTGTTTTTGTTTTAACTGTATTGGTTTTTAGTGTGTTTATTTTAAATGATTTGTTTTAATTGATGTTGGAAGCTGCCCAAAGACTCTTGCAGAGTGCAGGTGGCATACGAGTCAGATGGATAAATATATATAAAATAAACATGATGTTACTGTAGTACAGGCAATTCAAGGGAAAATTATTGCAGTTTAAATGTTAGATTGTATTTTAAACTGACACAAAATATATACATATGCAAATACTGCCTGTTCTCCTTAAAGCTTGCATTTCTTTGCTTACTTCCCCCTTCTTTGTTTCAATGCAGTTTCTTCCCGATTAATTAGACTCTAATTATTTGATATTTCTTTGTACACTGCCTTCCTGTTGCCATGGATTTCCCATGATGGACTTGTGCACTGCCTCCTGACCTCATTCCATTTGCCTGCACTCTGTGTCCTACTGAGTAGGATGATATAATTGCAAACAAGAGACAGGAATCCTGAACTGTTAATCATTGTGTCAAAGAAAATTTCAGAAGATGAAGCCTTTCTTCCAAGAGCATGCCTAGTCCTAACACTAACTTTTGAAATTCAGTTTTCTTGCAATTCTTCAGGGTATGGGACCAGTTTTGCTTTACAAATGACAAAAGGGACTTGAACAAGTCAATCCACTCAAGCAGGAAGGCATGTAGCAATTCTAGAGAACTCCACAGAATTACCTAAGTGTACCAAAAAGAAAGAAGACATAACAGAAATACAGAAATACAAAAAAAGAAAAAAAAGAAAAAAAAGAAAGAGTAACCCCCAGAGAGAATCATCATTGAAAATGTTAACCTTCAGCAACACATTTGACTTTATTGTACAAGCATTGCTTACTCAGATAAGGACACCTTACCACAATCTAGAAAAAGATTGATCTGCCTGGAAAGTACTAGTTGGTTAGTTAGAATTGCCACTTATGCATTGCCAAAACAGATGACACAGATGGTTGTTGTGGGGTTTTTGTTTGTTTGTTTGTTTGTTTGTTTGTTTTTGGACTGTTTGGCTGTGTTCTGGAGGTTCTTCTTCCTAACTTTTTATCTCATGGAAATTCTGCAAAATTCCACCCTGCTGGCACTTGGCTTTTCAAAGCCACTGGCACCATCCAATCTGGCCTGATTTTGGGGCTATTTCTTTCTTTAAATATTTTGAACTCACCTTTCTCCTAAAAAAGGACCCAAGGTAGCTTACATAATTAAAAACTCAGTAATAAAAACTAAAAACAGTAAATTATTCAAACATTACAGAAGATTAATAACATTACATGAACAATGTTAGGTAAAAACATAATCAAAACCAGATTCAGAAGCAAGAAAATACAAATCCTCCCATTTATTGTTCCCCAGGCTGTCAGGCAGTAAAGAAAATATCTTGAAAGGAATCCAAGCCAGTGAGAGGAAATATGTATATTGATGTTTGATGCCTATGTTCCATGAGGATTCTGCAAAATTCCACCTTGCTGTCAAACTGCTTTTAAGACCCATGGGCATAATCTTACCTGGCCTGATTTTTGGATTCTTTACCCGATGCCCAAACTTTATGCCATTTTGGCTTGATAAGAGTTCTGGAGAATTAGCACACTTACATTATTCGTAACTTTTTAGTAACAAAATAAAGATATTACTCCACTCAGAATTTGTTTCTTCATATGACCTGATCATGGTTACTTTTAAAAAAATAAAGCTATAGAGACACTGATAAATACACACACACCACAAAAAACCCACCTTCTTTGGCCCTTAGTGGGTGTTATTCCAGAGCACATACAACAATAGCATAATTTTGAAATGTGAATTTTTATGTCATGAAAGAGTCATGGGTGCAAAGACAATGCTGGGTATGCATTTGCCTGGAAAATAGACTGGAGAAGAAGAAAAAATGAAGTACTTTCCCCACACTCCTCCCTGCAGCAACTGCTCTGCATTCAGACACACACATCAGGAGACTCTCACATGTGCCACCAATGTAATCTTTTATCAGCCAATTGAATATTTCCCCAGTCTAGGCTGAAATGTGTATCTCACTAACAGCTGAAAAATTCTCATACACTGAAACTAGTTAATCTAACCTGCCAGACAGGAAAACAGCTGCTGAATTATGTCCCTTAGTCATTTGAAAAATCAATACCTTTCCTTGTGAGAGAGAGGGAGAACGAGGGAGAGAAATTCCTTAGGCTGACTTTTGATTATTCCATTTTTAATAGGAACAACAGGGAGGATGTGTGATTGTGTTAAAGCTATTGTCTATTCAAAAGAAAAAGAGAAAAGAAAAAAACAATGTCATCGTCTTATAATTCGGGACCATCTCTTGAAGTGTTCAGAATAATTAAGATAAACTGATCGTATGCTTAGAAGTTAGACTACAAGGAAATTGATTGTACCTGTTCTGTATTGCCAGCCATGCTGCAAGGGCAATCCCCAAAGGATGTTCCCACCGTTTTTAGGTCCAAGTCCAGCAAAATATTTAGCTGAGAAGTTCAGCAATATTTTATACAATCCCAGTCTCTCCCTATAGTTCCAGGGATTGATGACAATGGTGTTGCCTTTTCTCAGGTAATCTTCTAAGGTTTGAGGTGCAGATTCCCACAGTGGAGGGAAAGCATTACAGAAGCCTTCAGGTTCCTGAGTTTGCCTGCACCCAGTCTGGAACAGACTGAGAGTAGATGATGTTAGCAGGCAGATAGCAAGACAGAAAATGTAGCCCATGTTGGCGCTCCTGTTTTAGGATGTCACAGGGTGTTAAAAACTCCTTATAATGGGCAAAGACCAGCTGGAATAAGATACATACATCTCATATAAATCCAGTTGCTTACACCCACTTCTGCATGATGTTCCCCACACCAGCAAGGCTACAAACACCATCATATGGGACTGTGTTATCTTGGAAATCTAATTTGCAAAATCAATAGGGCAAATAAATCACCTTGCAGAAACCTCGTGAGAGTTCAAGTCATTCCAGATGTGGCTTTTATTGTGCAATTGTGCTGCCTCATTTGCAGAATTTCATGAGTGGCTTACACAATGTCATCTTCCATTTGTAACCCTCTTCAATTTTTCAATTTTTTCTTTCATCTTCTTTTCTTTCCAGAAAAAGCCATGAAGGAGGAGGGAGGATAATTCTTTAATAGAGATTGATTGGTAGCACTCTTAAGGTCAAATTAATGAATCAATATAAATATGGGCTTCATTTGAAAATTGGGTGGCTCAGGAATGAAGCTCTGTAGGAGTTGCATGGCTGGAGAGAGAATGTGCTCTTACTCTGTAATTAAATGCTTGACTTCAGGTCAACTAAGTAGAAAGGTTTATGAGACGTGTTCTTTCATGAACGGTATGTCATAAGAGATCATTAAAGGTCTCAGTGACTTCTTTGATCAACATGGCATCTGGATAGTGGAAATCATTTTTTGGAGCAGCTATCATGTTCTTCTATCAGCACCACTCTGGGCAGTACACTGTTTTAAAGAAACCACTTATGCAAGCAGTTGGAGCCCACATATATGGTGCCATATGACAAGACAGGTAGACATTAGCCGTAGATTTTAATGCTAGATATCTGGATGATTTCCAATAGATCAGCAAGGATTTCTGACTTTCAGTTCTTCAACAGTGGCAGCACCAAACAGACACTGTCCAACCTTCATCCAAGACATAGGATGAAGACATAAGGAGCCCCTGGAATTACCAAGTGTGGGGTGTAGTGTGGAAGGACAGTGAACTTCATTCAGTTATCATATTTAGAACAAATTCTTATACTGAGAATTCCTTAATTTGAAATGTGTCATTTCTGCAAGGGCCTTGTTGGTGAATATCTGACTTCTAGTAGCAGTTGGACATGCACACAGAGGAAAAACCAGCATGTATGACTCCAACTAACTACCACTGTGGATGAGGTTCAGTAATCAGGTCTAGAGCACAGAGAAGCCACTCCCCCCCCCAAACTGCCATCCAGGATGTCACATTTCATTAGCATCCCTATACTCATGGTAGATATTCATTAAGAATATGCAGGGAGAAAATCTTTGTATTTCTTTCATTTCAGTTTCTTTTGGTAGGGGTGCCCTTTTGTTTCCACATTTTTTCATCCTTTCCACATTCTTTTCTTTTGGGTTAACCATTCATGCTTTGTCATTCCGGGGATCCTTAAAAGCTTCTCCAAAAGAGCGAAGACAAGGCAACAGAGAATCGACCTACTCCAAAAGCAGACAACTATACTGTATATATAAAAAATCATCAACCCCTCCCAAAAGATACATCTTTAACAGAATAAACACACAATAAAATAACTAAATAAGCGTTTAAAGAAATAAAGGAACAGGGAAAATACGCTTCCCCACACAAAGAAAATAAATGACAACATTAAAAAAAACAGCAACACAGTCCTGACTTCTCAAAACTTCTCAAAACCAAGAAATAACCAGTAAGAAAATAAAGGAAAAACATTCAATCCCTTCCCACCCACCCCCAACTGGGCTACTGACAGCAGCCCTTGTGACATCATTTGATTAAACATTTCCTGGGGGGTTTTACGGACAAGAAATAATGGAAAGGGAAAACAAAGGAAGGAAGCTGGAAGGAACATGAAACATTTGTGTCCCTCTTTTTGCTAAAATGAAGCATTCAAGTTTAAGAGTCTGCCTTTCAGAAATCAGAGAAAGAAAAATAAGAGCCTCTTTTGTGGTTTTCTCATTAATGTTAACCTGAAAGTCCCATCCCTAATCACTTTATTCCTATGTTTCGCACAGTATGCAAAAAAAGTCAATTAATTATTCTGAAGAACAACCGTTCCTACAAGCCCCAAACACATAACCTGATTGGGACTGGAGCCAATTTCCTACAGAATGCATATAAAGATACTGCTTCCTGCCAAAATAGTGTTTATAGATCATGGGGAGGAGATTTGGGAGTGGGGGACTAGCATGCACCCCTATCCACACCTGGAGCACTTTGCCCTCTCTTTTTTAGCAAAAACAAGTAACAAGAAACATTAATAACATAGTATGTTGCTTAGCCCACAAAATGAGAGAAATACAGTAGTGGGTGGGTCACCTCTCTCCTTTTTGTTTGTTTCTTTGTTTATTCCACTCCAGAGTGCAGAGACACTCAATGGGCAGTGTACAAATAGACAGAATATCATATACAGTAACAAGATTAACAGTTAAACATATTAATAATCAACAACTAACAAAGCACAATAATAAAAACAAATGAAATAATACCCTGTGCTAAATGAAGATGATTAAAATAAAATTAACCCCAATTTAATATCCTAACCACCTTTCATTACAATGTGTTAATCATCTCCTAGGCGCTAATTTGTCTGGGCTACTGTGTCTTAATTTCTGTATTTACGATCTTGATTAATGCATGTTTTTCTTGTTTTTCCATATCCTGTCACGCCACAGGCTACAACCAAACATATATATAATAAATGAGGCAATGCTTCATATATCTTATGGAAATGGGCTTTAGTCCAGAAAATTTTAAAGGAAATAAAATTTGCCAGACTTTAAGGTGCCACAAGATAATTTGCTGTTTTTGCTGTAACAGAGTAACCATGAAAATTTTAAATTTTTTTAATGTAACAAATGCATATATTTCAAAATCAGTGTCATTTAAATGCTCCCCCTTAAATATTGTTGTTATATGCCATCAAGTCAGAACAAGCTTACAGAAACCCTAATAGAGCTCTCAATGTAAGTGAAATATTTAAGGACTGGTTTTATCAGTTTCACATCCCCTGTGAGCTTTCATGGATGAGTGAGGATTTGAATCCAGGCCTCCTAAGTCTTAGTCCATCACTTTACACCACACCTTAAATATACCCTCCAATAATTTGCCTACACTTTCCTTAATATAAATACAAGTCCTTGCATCCAGAAATTTTTTGTTCTTAGAGAACTAGACAAAATAGTAACTGAATATTTCCCCTTCTTTTTCCAGTTCCATAAGGGCTAGAAAGTTTCCTTCCTTCCTTCCTTCCTTCCTTCCTTCCTTCCTTCCTTCCTTCCTTCCTTCCTTCC